AATTTTTTGGAGGCAAGATGAGAGATAAATCAAATTAAAACTGTTGAGTTCGATAGAGTAATCAATGCTGTATCCAAGCATATAAAAATAAAAATTCTCGGCCGTTTTACTGAAATACAGTAAATCGAAGAAAACGGTCAAAAATAACGTAATCAAGCTGTAGTCTATGGGCGCTGAAGAATCGTTTGGCAAAAGCCTTTTCATTTTTGTTCGTAAACGACTTTGAGAATTGGCTTTTGAGAAAGATCTCTAAGATTAAGAAAGATATTCCATAAATACTAGCATGATCGCGAAATTATTCTTATTCGTCCCACACCACTCCACTTGTTAATAATGAAACTTATATTTTCGTTATTTTTTAAAAAATTAGACATTTTTTACCGAATGGTTCTTTTATTATTGATTATCCACGATGTCCACAATGTTCTTATCCAATTGTGCGTGTAAAACGATATGTATCACTTATAAAACGTATACATTTGTTAATACGTACAGCATTACCGTCTTTTGAATCGACGACAATCACTGATCGATTAATTATTCGACATAATATTAACAAAATTGAATATTTACCAATTGGTATTAGAGTATTATCAAAAGTTATTTATTATAATCAAAGACGAAAAATTTATTATTATCAATTTCTTCATATGTGTACACTCTATAACACATTACCTGATAATGTTAAACAAGAAGCTAATAAATGTTTAAAAAGTTTATTTAGTATTATTAAACGAAAAAAAAGTGTATGGTTAACAAAACAACAATGGTTAGATTTAGAAAGTGAATATAATCGTTTATTATTTTTATCACAATTAAAAGATATCAGATATTTAGCTAAAAATGATACAATTAATGTATTATCAGCAATAATTGAAACTCAAGGTATTCAATTTGATAAAGATGATTGTCAAACATGTATTGAATTATTACATAATAATAATTTAATGAGTAGTACAAAATTAGAATGGACATCATTATTTATATATTGTAAAACAATGGATGATTTTGAAAAAGATAGACAAATATGTGATCAAAAATGGATTATTTGTGCAAACGGTAAGATGGTGAAAATTCAAAGTGCGAGTAACTTTTTTGTCCCATTTATTTGTACATGGTTGGATAGAGTGCATCAAGTTGAGTAAGAAAAAGTGGTTTTGAATTTTTAAAATAATTTTTTAAGAAAGAGAAACTGAACAATTTCGAAAAACTCTTCCATTTCAAGAACGGTCAAACTTTTTTCTGTTTTTTCTTTGAACTTCTCGAAAGTATTTTTTGTATGGACGGTTTCCAGTTCCTAAACAAATTTGGAAACCTATTTAGATTTTTGTGTGAAGAGATGAAGCCGATTTTTGTACTCCATTAGACCAACCATTGAACGAGCGGTAATAAAACTACGTATTGCTGTTTTTTCTAAGTTCCTTTTTCACTGAGAAAATTCATTTTTTCTATATCAGGAGGGAAAAATCGAAATTCTGCCGGTAGATTTCAGTTTTCTGAAAAATACCATAATCTGAATCACCGTCAAAAACTTAGGCGATTGATGTCCGTTTTTTATTCTTTTCGAACACCGTCATTTTTTTTAATTTTCACGTTGAAAATTAATAAGAATTTCATCGAAAACTGAAAATGAACGAAAACTTTCGACATATATGTCTTCAACTTCGAATAGGATATTTTTGTTGCATATGGAAGCGATACGTAATTTTACAGCTGGTCCAATGGCGGTTCTAATAGAGCACGGAAATCGGCTTCATCTCTTCACACAAAAGGTAGATAGGTTTGCAAATTTGTTTCAGAACTTTTTACAGGCGGAGTCAAGATGTCAATACTGGACAGATCTTTGACTTCAACGGAGGCTAAGCATCATTCTCACACTCAGTCTTTGAAGCTGAATTTGAAGAAAAAACTTTCGAAAAGTTCGAAGAACGAAAACGAAAATAGTTTAACCCTTCTTGAAACTAGAGAGTTTTTCGAAATTTTAGACTTCGAAACTGTTCACTTTTCCTTCCTTAAAAAATTATTTTAAACATTCACAACCACCTTTTCTTACTCAGTTTGATACGCTCTACCCAATCATGTATAAATAAATGGGGAAGAAAATCTTACTCGCACTTTGAACTTCCGACACCTTATAAAGAAGATGTCTATCAATATTATGTATAGATACGGAATATCAGAATGTTCCAGTTGTACCAATCGATTTCATGTTCCAACCTAGCTACTGAGAGATCCGTCGATTTCTCGAAAATCCGTGAAGTACGGATGTTGTAATTTATTTACAAGTTCAGAAAACTCCCGATATTTTTAGTGTTTATGTCAAATGATGGCTAAAAGGCTAGACTGATCTAATATTCGATTATCACAGAAAATTCATAGAAAATTTAATGGAAAACATTTTTTTGCGTAATTTGATCTAATCCCGAGAGTCATAAACATCTATTGTCCTCAGAAAAGCATAAATTATTTTTAAAGCAAAAAAGGACAAAAATGGTGAGTTTTCAAAAACAAAGTCCCTTTTTAAGCGACATAATGTTCTTTCTTTTAGCTTTTCGGTTGGTAAAATACTTTTCTAAAACGTTTTTTCCGGCGATTTTATACTATTCATTAAGGAACACTTGTATATTCTTGACTTCAAATTTGGTTTCTGTTTTATTTTTATTTTTTCTTCTTGAATAGGTAAACTTCTAATCTGGAGTGCAAAATCATCATCAGAAATAGATCAATTGACATGTGTCGAATGTACAAATAAAGAAAGTAATCAGTTTATTATAACGTGTGATATTAGTACGGTCTGTGTAAAATAAAATAATAGGGATAATCATCTTTCGACAGAACATAAAATATAGTAAACTAATTTTTTCTGCTGGACCAAATTTCTACAGATCGATCTTCATGATAAGAACAGTAAGTATCGTTTTCTCCCTGAAGATCGATTAGCATAAAGTGGGGTCTAGCAGGTAGGATTTAGGAAATTAAATTTGCTACATTTTCCTCTCGTGTCTCAATTTTAAGAAATTCATCATTCATAGTAAATTGTCGAAAATACCACCTTTTGGGCTAATTTTTCACAGTTTCAACCATGAAGGAAGAATATCTTAAAATTGAGACACGAGAGGAAAATGTA